CCGCCAGCGCCGCCTCCACCGGCGTCTTCAGCGCCCCGTCCACGTACGACTTGGAGTCGGTGAAGAGGCCCGACAGCTGCACCGCGTGCAGGATCGGCCCATAACAGTAGATCGGGCTGCAAACGAAAAATAAGTTAAATAAAGCAAATTAAAATTATGAGCACAAGCCACAAATGAAACTAAACAAACAGAACACTTTAAACAATAACCACAGATAAATAAGAAATCAAAAAACTTCAACAAGTAACTGAATCTTCAGATTAGGTTGCAAAATAAATTAAGTGACTAAAAGTTTTAGTCACTTAATTTATTTTGCAATCTAATAGTTTTTATTTTGCGTTTAATAGTTTTTACTGTTTTAGTCTAAAACAATAAAAACTACTAAACGCAAATCATGACAACAAAATGAACAAACACACTTCAGAAATATGTTGTAGCACATTATAAAGCAACTTTATTACTTATTCTCTAAAATCATAAATAACGGCTAAATACCGCAGTCTTAGAAAACAACTTTACCATCAACGAAAGGAATAAAAATAAGTAAATAAAAATCCAATCGTGCTGCAAATTGAGAATAAAATAAATTAATAACATCCCAGACAAATTACATACATATACAACTTGGTACAAGGTAACAAGTAAATCAATTAATTTAATTTATTAAACGATAAAAAAATAATAAATCGGCTACCTGGGCTGAGGAAAAAAAAGGAGAAAAATTCAAACCAATTAAAAATATCCTAAATAAACTGAAACCTGCCGAAAACAATTACAAAAAAAATTAACCAAACACTTTAAGAAGTTTAACACTAGAAAACCAACAACGAACTATTGAAAAATGAAAATAAAAACTGTCTCAGTTGAAAATATTTATTCACAACGACGGAAAACATCAGAAAAATCAATATTCACGATTTCACCGATCCAGCCCGATTATTTCTGCGAAACCACGAGCGTAAGTCAATAAACATCTATTTAACTCAACCAGCACGTGCTGCGATGAATAGATTGATAGGAAATCAAAATAAACAACACGACTCTCACCATTACATCGGCGCACAGCCTGTGCAAATCTGCATCGCCTGTCTCTCGCAACGGCAGGCAAAAACCCACCTTTCAGCGAAACACTGCAGAGTTCAGCACTCAACCAACTCAGTCCCCATCGTCGAACCCATTCACAATTTCACACCATTGTCTAACCACATTACCTTACAGGTAAATAAAGAAAAAATCAATCGAAAAATCCAAACAACGTCTCCGCGATGCGCGTGCCCAACCGATACCCAATCAGACACACGACGATCAGGAAAAGAAGATACTGCCATAAAAACACCACGAAACTGTACCCATCCATCGCGGATACGATATGGAATTAATTTTTCATAAAAATCTACATCCTAGAATCTAAAATAGTAAATTCTTCCGTCAAAAATTAAAATAATCATCTCATTCTGATCAGATCGTGAAGCGCGCCAAAAAAAGCAGACAACGAAATTCAGCACGATAAAATTAGCGTGCGCAGGGCCGGAAGACCCCTGTTATGCTACAGCTCGCTACGCCACAGCTTATACGGTGAAAATAACACGCACAGGGCCGGAAAACCCTTGACATAGCTACAGCGCGCCACGCCACATTTCATGAACAAACACGAAAATTCTGTTCGTACCTGGAACAGGCGGTCACTTTGCGACTGGCCCCGCTGCCCGTCACCAATCCGCAAATGATCAGACAAAACAGGATGAAATTTCTAACCCGTCCATGTCCATGGTGAAGAGTTGACGGAGCCATAATCAGGGGAAGAAGAAGGAAGAAACAGGAGTGGATCGTGAATGTGTTGCATTCAGCTGGAGTGCATGCATAAAGCCAACTACTACAGGAAATCCACACCTTGCGCTCAGTAAATTATTACAATTTTTGGAGGATTTTGCAGGCAAGGGAATTTCCAGGATTTCCTGCTGATTGTCGTGTACAGCAGCGTCGATCAATATTTTGGGAAAGTCGCGATGGAAACAATAATCCGGAATGCACAATAAATTTATGGAAAATTAAACTAATCGGAAATATTGCACCATATGCCAACAGACAGGAAATTAAGCGATTGCGCAGTGAATAAAAATATCGAATGGAAGCGATCCGATCCGAATTCAACGATTAAACTCGAACAGATGTTGCTAAAATGGGACGGGCAAATGCTATGAAAATTCCCTTGGGAAGTTACTGGCGCAATAAACGAGCGGATGCGTGGTGAATTGCTAACTGGATGTGCTATAAATTATCGCCGTGCGTGGTCGGGTTACGATCGCGGCACAATAAACAGTGCAAAACATTTCCTGAATGCGATGACACATACTGGACGGACAACCAATCAGCAGCAGCCAACGCGACACACCCCCGGCAGCAACACTGCAACAGCCAATCCGGTTGTGGCGTTCCGCCCTCGCCACACCGCGCGAGGTTGAGTCAGCGCCAGTATTATCTGTGCCAGCGCCCGAGACGGCGATTTGGCTGCTCTGATTTGTCGATGTTTTCCGTTTTTGAACAAAACATTTTGCCGAAGGGATTATTACAGCGTAGAGCTAGCACTCGTACTGGTCAGCTATGAGTTCATGAAAGCCGGTACTTGTAACTTGAAAAATAACTGATACCAAAAGTACGAGTATTAGTACGAGTCGGACAATGTACACTGTACAGATATACTTTACTGTAAGCAAATTTAACTAATTTTCGATCCTTATTATTTTCATTGATCACTCTCCAACTGAATATATTCTATATTTCGCGCAAAACTAAACGGTTGTAACGCAATGAAAAAAAAGTGAAGAAAAGGGTTTTGAAGGTGCTATACAGAATAGTTTACGCGGATTATATTTTGATACAATTTCCACACAATCGTCCTGGACTGGCACAATCAGGTCATTTCCTGCCGTTGGAATGGAGGTACTACGCCAGGTGCTGTTAAGGAATTATAGCGTTGCTGCTGCAATTCGATCAGTGCCACCTTGCGGTCCGCTAACTGCAGTTAGGTGGACCGGAAACGGGACATGTGCAGCTGTAGCTTATATAGATATTATGAGAATATAGTATATATCGATAGCCAAAAAGCTAGGCCGGTACACTTGCAGATGACCGGAAGCGTGGCTCCTCGATTTGAATTTGCGTCTGGTTTACATTGGTTCTATTAATTCTTATTTATACCAATGTACAGTACATAAAATTAATGTCTATATAAGAGTAAGCACATATGATAGATGTACGCATGTAACTACAATGTACGTATGTTCGTACATACATGTATATAATATCTATATCTATATATTATGACAAGCTGGGTCTGCGATATCCGTAGAGAGCGCGCCGGATGCTGTAACATTCACTTGATACTGGATACTTCTAATAATTATACTAGTCGATTCTGATGATTAGGGTATCATTTCTACTTATCGTTAGTGTGGCATTAGTATTGCAATTCAACACTAACGAATAGTAAAAACAGCTAGGGTAGGATAGGGCTGATTGTCTTCTTTAATTTTTGTCATGAATTCCAGGCTGCATGCGTATGGCTACCACTAAAATAATTTTAGTTAATTGTTGGAAGGCTGGATTATTTCCAAACATGTACATGTTAATGAGCATGTATCAATTCAATCAAAACTATCGCTTGTGAAAGTACTACGGGTAGTATCTTTATTTCACGATCAGTAAGTAAGTACAAAGTATATATGGCTTCGATCGCCTGCAACAAATTAATTCGACCTCATCGCGTGCTGCATTCCAACTACACATACTTCTGCTAAACGCAAATTAGTTTTAGTAAAGCATAAAGCTGACATTCGATGTTCCATTACATAATTGATGTGTGAGTTATGTTTTATTAGGCTGTTTCCTTATAATACATGAATCATGCCTTAACGCATAATATGCAAATGATGCAATCGGGATACGTTGTAGGCTGCGCTGGTCCGGAGTACCTTTGTTGTGTACATGTATATTATATTATTAAGGAAAGTGGCCCGGTACATGGTACCAAGTCGTGTACATGTAGGAAAACTTTCTCTTTCGCGCACTCCCAAACACATTTTGATTTCGGTTTATGACGGTTCTATAGCTAGGTGATTTGTATACACTGGCGTGAAAACCGTCTGTGCGCGCAGCATCCGGTTCGGGAGTTATGGCTGTTAGAAAATGTAAATGCATTCAGGCATACCAAAAGTCTCATAATAAACCGATCTCCTTCAGAATTTGCACGTAAATGCATATGGCCATAAATAAAGATCGTTTTCACACTGATCCTGACTTCCATGATTTTTTTCAAAATTTAAAATGAATTTTTACATTTTTGAAATTCGTTTTAAAATTTGAAAACATGCTGGAACAGTGGATCGGTGTAAAAACGTTCTTCGTAGTTAAATGCATTAACGTGCAGAATTTGAAGGAGATCGGTCCATAATGAAACTTTTGGCACACCTGAATGCATTTAAACTTTTTGGAATTTTTTAACAGCCATAACTCCCGAACCGGATGTTGCGCGCACAAACGGTTTTCACGCCAGTGTATATACAAATCATCTGGCTATAACAGAATATCATAAAACAAGAGAAAAAAATGCTTTGGGAGTGCGCGCAAGTGAAAAACTTCGTGCTTGTACACGACTTTGGTACCATATGTACCGGGCCACTTCCCTTAAATCAGTACGAGTCATAAACTGTACGAAAGTACGGTGTACGCCGGTCTAGGGTAGCCGAAATGACACCGATTGTAACGGTGAAAAAAAGAAATATCTACCAGTATATTGTGCAGTTTTAATTGCAGGTTATGTGCGTTCTCTAATATGTACTGGTACTTTTATGACACTCTCTAAATACGAACGCTACCATTCTGTATACATCACGAGCTCAGCGCCATCGTGCATTTGTCCGCGAGGCGATCGTAAAAAAAGTCCTCGCAAGAGACAAACAAAAACAGCAAAAATAAGACAAAACGCCGGTTTTTCACTTTTCACAAGGGCTGCTTTTCTGGGTATTAGTCACATAAAACGCTGGTATACGTGACATGTAGTACATTACACGCTTGCGCCGGATGGAGTTGAAGCTTGTTGAGCCTGAATTCCGCGGCGACGAATTAAGTGTATTTTATACCGCTTATAACATTCATGTACAATATTATACTGCATTACTGTGCACAAGCAGCAGCGGCCCGCGGGTATCTTTCGGCGAGGAAAAGTATTCGGCCATAATTCACACTTTCTGTTTTCTTATGAACTACACCATGTACACGACTGCATTATCCGTGAATGCGACGAACTGAAGGACCTGTATAGAAACTTATGGTGCTGCAGTAAATCAAAGAACCCAGACGTAACATGACTGCATACGCGTCGTAAGACACTCTTTGGCAATCAACTGATCAACAACACTGTGCTGCAATTAACACTTATATTTGCCTTATATTTTCATCCTCTGGATGTGCTCTTTTTTTGTCCCAAGATTGTGGAGCGTTTTGGCGACCTGATTACAGTCTAAAGCATTGATTTTGGCGACCTTTGATCTGATTGGTGCACGCGGAGGGGACAGTTAAGGACATTTGTCGTGTGTGAGCTGGCGTATCCGGATATGGATCGGCCCCTGCTGCGACGCAGAGCCCTATAGTCCGTAACCTTTACTTCTCCTTGTTTTTAACTGGTAAGACATTCGAGACGGGTGATCATGATGTGCCGGAAGCGGTACCTGTTTATCGTGTAGCTGGAAATAACGGAAAATTGCCTTAATTAATTGGCGCAATTAGCCTCGCTCAGCCTAATGGTCCTTTCCTCACGTACTATACACGTATTGTGACGTATTCAGTGACACCTACTGACCACCGACATTGACCATATACTTACTATTGTTGCACCACAGACAAATTAAGAGATTTCCTTAACATATCAGTGCAGTTGTTTTTCCATCGAAATTTTGATTTCGATTCTACTTAAGCGTACAGGCAATGCTGATTTATAGGGAAACTAAAGTAGCCAATAAAATTAATTACACTTGTACATTTTGAGAACGACCGAAGCTTCCCAAAATATAATTAACCGCATTTTTTGCCTAGAATCCTGTACATATGGGTTTATTCAAACTGCATTATTTATTTTCTTTTAATTTTTATGACATTGGCGCGTGAGACTCAATCCTTGCAAAATCAATTGTTATGTTTTCTTCCTTTTCTCGAATTATTTATTTTTTTGCAATCAGACATATTCAGAAAAGGCTACTGCATTGATCTGCTGTTTATGCATACGCCTTCCGTTTGTTTTTTTATAGAAACGTTCGTTGCTCATGATTCATGGTAGTGATACAATGAGAATATCTATAAAGTATAGCGATAGAGTAGCAACTGCTGTTAACCAAAAGATCTCAAAACGTCCATGTATCATGCGAATTGTCTAGGTAAAGCGTTTTTGGCGTTGTGCATGTTATCTGTATGACGTCACTGGATGTACGTTGAGAGCGTTAATTTATTCAGTCCAACTGGAAGTGGAATTTTATTTAATATTTTCTTAAAAATTTGACTTATTCCATCCAACCGGAAGTGGTTTCATGTTATGTTATATCAGGTGAACTAAGTGCCGCGTTCCGCATGGCGCATGGGCAGAAGAGGATGTTTCATTTAACATCTGTGTCAAAATTTTATTTTATAAGAATACGATATTATTCGGCTTTAGTTAGTGTGCACGCTTTCAATTTGCGGGATTAACGATAAATTCCCAGCAGGGTAGCAGTTTCCGCTTGCGGAGAATTATAGCTGCATATATACATAATACGGCATTAATCGGGCTCAACCAGTTGGCAAATCCAGTCCGAAGTTGCCGGGAAATATGCGCAATTATACAGCTCGCGGCTGACATGTATCTGTACATGTACAGTTGATTTGCAAGTAGAAGTTAATAAACTGCAATATACACTGCTCGCTTAATCAGTCTGACAAGGGACGTGATTCTCCGAAACCCTGGTAATGACGTTGTGGGCGTTGTCTACTTGCAGGTCATCATTTTGCCGGGATCGGATAAATTGGGATACTTTCATCATGGGTAACGCGGTGGTGGCGGTGATGCTGCGCAACGAGTGCAACGACAAGCGCGAGCGCGAGAAGGTGGAGAAGAACGACCACAAGAAGTACGTGCAGAAGAAGACGCAGCTCAACAAGAAGCGCACCTCCATGGCGCCCAGCGCCAGCCAGCCCAGCAAGGTCAAGTTCAAGAAGCAGACCAGCACGACGCCGCCGGCCAAGAAGGCCTAGATCATTCCCCCATCGGTGGACGTGACGTGGAAAGGAACCGGCTAATTTTTGTACCTGTACATAATACAGTACGTACAAGCAACATCACGCATATGGACACCGTTTAATGCAAAGGTCAATATGTTTATGTTAAAGAAATTATCAATCCCATGGTGAAGCGCGATGCCACTCAGGCGTCGCGCGTAACGCTTGCTTTCCTTAATTATGATCCTTCATTACTACTTACGTATAACAGTTTATTATGTGCATATTCTAATGCATTATAAATAATTACTTAATTAATCTGCACTGCTGTTCTCTTCTTCCTTGTTACAGATTTTATCAGCTGATTGTGCTTTTCCCGATAAAATATGGTCGTTTTCACTTCGAAATATATGATGATGCAAGAATTGGTCAGTGTAGAAAAATCACAAATTTGGCAAAACAATAAATTTAAGGATTTCGCTGCCGTTCTATGGATTTCTGTGTACGTTCTATCATGTTAGGTGGTTACTTGTAAAATTCGGCAGCCTGTTATGGAATACAAATGCTGACAATTCATACATACTCTGTATTCAATAGAAACTTCCCCTTTTTTCCGATGAGAGTGGTCGAAAAATACAAATTAAACACTACTTTGTATAATAAAATTGCACTGTTATTTGGGATTTATTTTTACGGACGGCCGAGGCGTTTAGTCTTACCGCTGTCGAAGCACGTAGCCGACCGCGGTGGATGGGCAGTCAGGTACTAAAAATGTTCGGACCGGCTCTGGCGACTGCCTCCTTTCAAGCGTTAGCAGTGCACAGAATTCTTGCCTGCTTTTTCGTTCTGGGTTCGCACAAGTTCTCCTCCTTCGCGATCTTCATCTTCCTCGCCGTTCTTATCGAAATCACAAGCGGAACAGTATTTCTCTGGATTGGATAGTTGTACGTGTCGCGTACAACATATTTTCTGGAAATCGAAGGGAAAATCAGGTAAGAGACAGCGACACATGCAGATCGATGCCTGGTTTCGATGCATCTACGGCGATCGCTCAACTCTTGGCTGGCTACTGCGATTGCTCCGTTCAGACCATGTCAACGGTGTTGCAGAACCATGCCGCCATCCCGAAAAACATTGCTACCGCGTCCAGCTGCGGGAGGATCGCGTGGTCCTCCGCAGCAACAGGCGCGAGCAGGCAGACGCCGCCGTCAACAGGGAACTCACCGCAAGCGCCGACAGCGGACGGCTGCCACGGTTCCCTCGCCTCCGTCTCCATCCACCGGACAGGAAGGCTCGCCGCTTCGTACGATTAAACGGGAGCCGTCGGAGGAGCGGAAGGCCTCCGTCAGCGGGATGACGGTTCAGGCTGACAAGGACGACCGACCCGTGCACAAGGTGAGACACGCGTCCATCGTCAGCGACGCAGCAGTGGGCGCGAACAGAGAACCGCTGAAGTGCGCTATGTATTTGGGCGGATATCTATATTAGTTTCCTGCGTATCAAGTTCAAGATTGTTGTCGTTTTTGTTGAACTTATTTATTCACCTATAAATTTATTATTTGTTTGATTTATATCTTTCTAAAAAACGTTGTTGACCCATAGCTTAAAAGGCTAGCAATGAGGCAGTCGAAGTTGAGCAAGGATGCCTCGTTTTCACGGGTTTTGAACAGGCACGAAAACTGTCACTTTCGTACTCTTTTTTGCTTTGTTTTATGACATTCCGTAGCCAGATGATTTGTATACATGGGCGTGAAAAAGTACCCTGCAATGGCCAGATTTTGTCGCTGCCATGTAATGTGATATTGATAGACCAACCGACGCGTTAAACGCCGCCGGTCGCCCCGCCCCATCCAACCGGTCACCCACGACGATGCGCCGGTGTCGTCCCGGCTGCGCCAGCCCAACACCCAGCAGCGCCGCGCCGCGGAACGTAAGCAACGACCGCTGACTAGCGAATGTCCGGACGTAACTCTATCCGTGTGTACTGTAGGTCGTGCCCGTTTTCTGCCTGACGAAGCGGTGGACCATCGCGTTCTGGAGAGCGCCGGTCGCGGGGAAACAGCGAAAAACCCGGCTGCACCGGACTATACGCAGCACGACGCCCGTGTCAAGCGCCTGCGCAGGGGGGCGAAAAAGGCCGCCGGTGAGCAGCCGCGCAAGAGACGCCGGACACGTCGCATCACGGTCAGTCCGTCGCAGCAAACGTTATTTGTTTTTTTTTTACTTGCAGGCTGCCCTTTTCACTGAAATTTTATTAGTACTGTCTGCTATTTTATTATGCTATTTCATTCATATTTCATATTTAAATACTTTATGTATTTCATATCTAAATAATTCTTTAGATTATATTATCAAAGTTATTTTACATATGTTTTTATATTTAATGTTTTGTATACTATTTTAGAAGAAAAAAGGGCAGCGGCTGTGCGGGACCGTGCAGACGGTGGAGGACGCCGGCTTCGAGCAGGAGGCCAGCGTGGCCCGGCTGCCGAAGCAGCGCAACGACTCGCCCGCCGTCGGGGACCGCGCTGAGCGCCATACTCCCCCGGCGGCGGTGGAGGTGGACACCGACGTCAGCGAGATCATCGTGGTGGACGATATGGACGAGGACGGACCCGGCGCGGCGCCATCGACCCGGGACGCGGCGCCCATACTCCCGGACAACGGCGGAACACTGCACAACGCCCTGGATGTTGTGCTGCGCGCGGGGTGTTGCAGCAGCAGACCCCGGTCACCCCGGGGCGGTGGGCGCGGCGGGACCGACCGTTCCTCCGGTGAATCTGCCGCCCAGCGTCACCACCGCCGCCCCGCCCGTCTTCGCCAGTGCCGCGCCGGGTTTCGGGGGGTTTCTGCCGCCGGTGTGGCAGCCGCCCATGGGGAGCGGTTACGGCTGGCCGGGCGTGCCGCTGCCGCCGTGGTGGTGGCCGTGGGGCGGCGCGCCCGGCTTCTTCCCGGGATTCGGGATGCCGGCGCCCGGGCCGGGGTTTCTCTACGGGATGAACGCGGGCGGCGTGCCTGGGCAGCCAATGGCGATTCCCGGGGCGGCAGCGGCCCAGTCGGGGATCAAACCGGGGGCGCCGGTTAACGGTGGACAGTGACGCGCCGGAAATGGCCTTGGAATTGTTATTGCACGTACTCGATTTTTGTATTGAGGCTTTTTTTGTTAATTGTTGTTCTGTTTGTTGACGATCGGCAATATTAAATTGTGTGTTCTGCGACACTGACATTTATTGAGCGGATAGTGGATGAATTTGTGCAGCAGCGCTCCAGTGCCAGGTGATTAATTAAGCGGTTGGACAGTACGGGAAAATTACAGGAATATCTCTCGAATTAAATGTATGGACCAAAATTAACTTGATGATACGTGTTACAGCGCTCTTGATAAAGCGAAAGCGAAAGACGAAAACTCGACTATGCGCATGATGTGCATTCAGCAGAGCAATTAGAACTGGTAAGTCAGGAATGAAAGCAAAGCAGGCGATGGGAAATTAACGACAGAGGGCCGGGAATCTTAGGTGCGGCGGCGCGGCTGCGGTTTGATGGGCGGGCGGGCGGCGGGACGGGGCGCGCCACTCCCGGCCACGGCCGAGCCGGAGGCGACGATCTGCGCGGCGCCGACGCCGGGCGGGACGTAGTCGTTGGGCGGGGTGTCGAAGAGCGGCTGGTCGGTGTACAGACGCGAATTGGCGAAATCCTCGTACGACGTGAACCTACACAAAGTACTGTATTACTGCCTTAATATTAATAAATTCAGAAAAATAAAATAATAACATATATAAATTTCAGTAATAAACAGCAAGTGTAAACAGTACAAATTCACAAACAGCCATTACTTTAATGTCATTTGGATTTATCTGTAGGAGTGTATGTTTAATATAAATATAAAAATAAAAAAAATGCAAAAAAAATATATTTTTATTAATGATGTACCGCATATATTTAATAAAATGTACTAAATATAAAATAAACATGCCAAGATAAAATCCAGCATTGCATAATAAATCCTTATAGCACAGTTCATAGATTTTATTTATCTGAATTTTATTCAGGCAAATATAATTTATGAATTTATTCTGTTTGGATATAAGCCCTTTATGGAATGACCTTTACTTAGGCCGGGCTGCATTCTACTTACCGTTGGCAGTCGACGTTGAAGAAATAATCGCAGACAAGCGTGACCTGGTTGAACAACGTGCTGTTCAGACACAAATAGCTGGTCTGGTTGCCGTTGATATCGCAGCGGTGGAAGACCTGACACTGCGCCTCCGGGTCGGCGTAGAAGCCCGCCTGCTTCTTCGACGTACAGCTGAACCGGGTCTCCGGGATTGTCGCATACATAGGAAACTGGCCGGCGTCGCGGTTAGCCAAAATAGCCTGCACTTCCGCCGCGTTCAGCGCCGGTTTCAGCAGATCCCACACGTACTGCTTCTGGGCCAACGCCACGCCCACAAAACACAGTAAGAAAATGACCTTCATTCTAACCGGCAAAATTGTAAAAAAATTGTAAAAAATTAAAAATAAATTCTCGGAAAAATTCTCGGAAATTTTTAAAATAATTTTTAAGTTTAGGCGGACACGTTTTTATAGCAGTCTGGTGTGGCTGGTTACGTCGGCCGTTGGATGAAGTAGATTATGTAAAATTAACCGGCAACAATGGTCGCACGCGGCCAACGGCAGTTGTCGCCCCTTGAACGCGCCCCTGAGCGGAAAAGGCAATGCAGCCAGGATTTATATAAACAACTAGTGCGTTTAATTTGCATTCGCGCGAGCTGAAGTGGTCGGCTGTATTATCCGGCGTTCGGGTGTTTAACCGGCTGTGACTGAGTTTCGGCAGCGGAATAACTTCCTTCCGCTTCTGCGCGTTAGCACTTTCTTTACCTCTGATTAAGCGTTCACTGTGAGCCTCACGAAATCGATCAAATAAAAACAAAATCCACAGCAAAAAAAAATAAAATTGACAAAATAAAAAGAAAGTCGACAGAAAAAATTAATCGGCAAAAAACGAAACTGCCAAAATAAAAAACTACACAAATAAAAATGAAAATTTATTTGATACAAATAAAAAACAAATCCACAGCAAAAACAAATTTGACAAAATAAAAAGAAACTTGACAGCACATAAAAAATTAATTGGCAAAAAACGAAATTGCCAAAATAGAAACCACATAAATAAAAAATAAAATCGACAAAATGAAAATTTATTTGATAAAAATAAAAATTAAATTTAAATCGACAAAAATAAGCAGTAAGGCGAAAATACTTTCGACCACAATAAAAAATTAAACGACAGGAATTGAAACGGATAAAATTAAAATCGGCAAAAATAATCATTAAGATTAAAATATTATCGAGCAAAATAAAAAAATTAAAGGACAGGAATGAAGCTGCAAAGGTAGCGACTGCGAACAAAAATCACAATCGAAGAAAACAGTAATTAAAATTGATCGGAAATAAAATCGGCGGAATTGTAATATTATGAGAAATTTCTCTTGTTTTTCTCGTGGCGGCGACTATATAACGGGAACAAGCACCGCATAATTACCCGACCATTATCTGTTCTATAGAAATCCTAAGAAAAACAGTAATTGAATATGCAGCGGCAATAACAACGGATCAAAATAGGCCGTGTAATTGCAATGGCAGCGTCCTGCGGCCCGTAAATCCGGCGTTGATTACTGTTTTTCCCGGCGCTGAATAGGCGATGTACACGCGGCGCTGAGTGCGCCAGCAGCTGGCAGCCGGATGCGGGAAGCCGCTTTGGGCGCAAAATGAGTGTTGTCGCGGCGGCGTAATTGCGCCGCTCATCCCGCTTTCGTGTAATCCCCTTCCTTCATCCGACAGCGCTCGCGTGATGCCATTTGTGCCGCGGAAACATATGTATAAGACACGCTGCGCACCTCCGCCAACTTGATCACTTGATGCCGCACTAAGTTTCTCCTATCAGATCGATTGGCTGCTAGTACCGCCAGCATTTCCGGTTAACGCTCACGTGCGGCTTATTCCGCGGATTGTGCACGCGTTGGCTCATTGAAGATTTTGTGTTACACAATTTGATTCTCTGTTCGATCATCTGTCTGCAGTCTGATTAAAGCCGCGGTGACCTTTTGCATTATACGTTGATATATTCATTAAGTGTCCATAATTTCATTAACGCGTGACCTTTCCTTATACGCCGGTTTTAATTAGGCGTTCTACATAATTTTTACTAAGAAACGTGACCTTTTGTATTAAGCGCCAATGTTTATTTTTATATTTTTAACTTTTTTACGATTTTATTTTGATTTTATTAAATTTTTACGATTTTATTTTTATTGATTTTACTTTATTTTGATTTTATTATTGGTGGATTTGTCGTGACCTTTTGCATTAAGCGCCAGTTTACTGTTTTTCCCGATTTTTGTTTTTATTTTCTTGATTTTGTTAAGCCAGTGCGGTTCGATTTATGGTGACCTTTTGCATTATATATCAGCGTTTAATTAGCTGCATAGTTTTTGTGACCTTTATAATTATGCACTACTGTTTGATTAAGTAATCGCGTTTGATTTTATTATTGGTGGATTTGTCGTGACCTTTTGCACTAAGCGCCAGTTTATTGTTTTTCCCGATTTTTGTTTTTATTTTCTTGATTTTGTTAAGCCAGTGCGGTTCGATTTATGGTGACCTTTTGCATTATATATCAGCGTTTAATTAGCTGCATAGTTTTTGTGACCTTTATAATTATGCACTACTGTTTGATTAAGTAATCGCTGCTGTTTCCAATGCGGAATATATTATGGCCCCGCTGGAACTAATGGACCCACCGCCGTCCGCCCACGTCGCTCCCGACGACGTCATCAGCGTGTCGGTGGGGCGCGACCTGTCGGCGTGGCTGGTGAAATCCTCCGGGCGCGTGTACCGCCGCCCCCGCGGGGATATCACGTGGGAGGAGGTTCCGGGCGTGCGGCTGACGAAGATCGTGGCCAGCCGCCTGGAGGAGGCCGTCGGGATCAACCGCGACGGGGAGCTGCACCGCTACGCCCGCGGGACGTGGTCGCTGGTCAGCGGGGGCGCCGCCCGCCTGGGCGGGGACGCCGGGGAGGGGCTGATGGCGCTGGAGATGGTGCGGGAGATGCTGGTGCCGGCGGGGCGGGCGCGTTCGCGCTCCAGCAGCCAGCAGGTGGCGCCGCGGCGTCGGCCCAACGTGGTGGCGTGCCGCAGTACGGTCAGCTTCGATCTGCAGCCGGAGCAGGCGGAGGGGGCGCCGGCGGAGGCGGAGGGGCCGGGACGGGGGATGGTCAACGGCCCCATACCGGAGCACCACAACGAAGGCAGTTCGTCGAGTGTCCCCGCTGAGCAGGCCAAACACTGCTAAGATGTCCTGAAGCTGTTTTATTATTTATGCTGAATTTTACTTAATGCTGAAAATTATATTAGTTATCTCTACGCATTACTGATTTTCGATGCTGCAGTTGTGTTATAATCTGTACAATAATAACGTTGATTTGATATGATGACTAAATAAAGCCCATCTGATATAAATACGTATCAACGAAATCACTTCCGGTAAAGGAAATATTACTTATGTACATAATAGGATTTGTATACCTACTCGAGTAATTTTGGTTGTATTGTAGTATAATACACCCGTTATATTGCTTTAATACTGCACATATCTGTATATCTCTACAATCCAAATGCAAATTAGCAGTTAGAAATCATAGTTGTAATTACTCTTTACAAGTTAGCAGTAAGCCGTACGAATAAGCTATAACCCCAGATTTTTGAATGTTTATCGATTGTACTTCGTATGCGGCGTATGCGCTGTTAATCCGCGGAGGCGCTACTTACAAGTTAGATCACATTTTGCGGCTAGCGTGATCTGGAAACGTGATTCAATGATCGCCAACGTTGCCGTTTCTTTATTGTAATTTTGCTGCTCAATACATGATGCAAGTATTTTTAGTTTGTACGAACATCAGAAGCGATTTACTGACAACGTTGTTTATTATGACCAAGCTACTTACTTACACCGGAGTTACACCGTATAATTTATTGGCAATAATCTCCTAAATTACAAAAAATGGTAGCGCTGGTACACTACTTGACAGCAAAAATATTAAACACTGAAAGAACAACCAAAGTCTCTGTCCTCTCTCGGGTGAAAAGGAAACGTACTCTAAACAGCCATAGCATTTCCTTTAACAACAACAAGACTAACCAAAAGCGCTGCTTGAGAAACGCAGTAGAACGCGCTTAAATTCCCCGGTCTCCATTTATGTACTAACGAGGGAAAGCCGGGACGTCCCGGCCGGCTTTATATTTATTGCTTAAATCAGTGGATCGGCCGTTTCCGGTGCGGTCTCCCTTCTCTTTCAACGGCATTCTGAACCGATGCGATCCGACTTGCACACAGCTGTACCAGTTTGTCCCGTAATTTCTATCGTAAAGCTACAGATAGCACGTTTTTATAATCAGCGCCAAAGTTGTGCTATGAACGATTGCCACTACACTGCGTCCAGCACATAGATATGGACGACTTTGTACACCATAAATTTTTCTAGGCATATGTTGTTTTACTTGTATCCCCTGTATCTAGCCGTGTCCCTCATGTATTCCACAAGAATTTGCTGACGTACCTCTTTTATAGTTCAATGCGGTATCCTATCATATCTCTGCAGTCTGCATTACCCTTTATGTATCCTACATAATCCCAATAAACCAATAAACAATACTTGTATCCCAATAAACCTAAGAAAACAAGAAAAAAATAAGAAAAAATACAGAAACCTAAGAACATTAACGGTATACAATAAGAATACACGAAAGACACCGCGAGGCCGAATACTGTAGGATCGGATACGCAGGCAAAAAAGAATGTTCACTTGAACAGTATTTACACTTTTGTAAAATAAATATGTGCATGAGGATCGCCTTCGAAATCCACAGTATTCCACTGTATCCCACAGTATACTCCACGTACTTTTCGTGTATCCTGCTGAATATGTATATATGCAGTATATATATATATATATATGTATATATATATATATATATATATATATATATATATATAAGCGTGGTAATGCTGCTTGTGTATTAGGAACGGTCGAGAAGCAGCATCAGCTCGATGGTTTGTTTTTGATTTGCTAGTTACCTAGTGTTTCGTATTTAAAACTTGTATGCGTACTGCGTTGATATGTAGAAAAATATGAATTTTATAAAAAGCACCAATTTAATAAATATATATATATATATTTTCAGCGGGACATTTCGTCGTGGGACATTTCGCCACACGTTTTTCGTCGCAGCGGCCAATGTGTTTTGGGACAACTCGTTTTGTGGCCGTTTTGTTGTGGCACATTTGATCGCGCGACTCTTGGGTTGTCGAAAAATTATCGACTGGTATATGGCAACGAACTGTCATATGACTATTTGCCACAAAAACTGGATGTCCTTAAACGAAATGTCCGTAAAACCAAATGTCCCGCGACGACCTGTCGCGTAGCCGTAAGTCCGTACCATATGTACCGGGTCACTTCCCTTAATAGCAGC